AATATAAAATATCACTAAATATCTAAACGTTAAACAAAAAAATGTTAATATAGACTAAAGTATTCTTATACATAGGAATGTTTTATATATTACTATTATAGAACAGTAGGTTATAACAAACTCCTAAAAATAAAATTTATTATCTAATCACCATAAATCAGAAATCATGGAAATTATGATATCGCATACTAATACATAAATTATTATTATTATGGATTTCATGCTAGACATATTTCATTATCTATCATAAGACCTGGTTATTATTTCTAGACATGTGCAGTAATTTGTCCTTTTTATCAATTATCTTTGACTATAAATGTATATACAGAGCCATAAGACAGGATAATAAATACCATAAAATAAGCGGTGGACACATTAATTAAACGGTGATGTTTTAATTTTCAAACAGCGTGTCTTGTTAAATATAACTTCGATAATTTAAATGTATTAACATCAGTTTTATTTAATTTTTATTGAATTGATACTATTTACTACGTCAGTGTGAGTAATGAATATTACGCTCCGTCTGTACAATTCATTAAACATCCCACTGTTGCATTTTAAAACATCCTAAATGAAAAGAAATAACATCTTACAGATTGTTATTAAGTAGGTGTCCAAAAAATATATACTTACGACTGTTATACGAATCTAATAACGTAGTTAGAGACATTTGTCAACTGTTATCATTGTATGTATATAACACTTGTCATGCCCACATTTTCTCACACATGTGGGCATTAAGTACGTACTAAGTAATTATATTGTTAAAACGCTAATAAAATAATAGATAAAAATGTCACGAATGTAAATAAATACAGATAATAAGAATGTTTCAAATAAAATAATAGGTGCTACGTGAGAGCTTTAAAATAGAACCGGCTTGCCAACCTGCCTTACAATTTATAGCCGTGTATTTGTCATGCCGTTTTCCATTTTCTAGAGCGGACGGAGAGGTAAATAGATTTTATTTACAACAATTAGATGCCTAATGATAGTCTATTTAAATGTTTCGAATATTTGGTACTTATTTTCTTTAAAATTCATTTCTCTCAAACTTATCTTACTTTTAGGAATTAAGCCGCCGTTTTGTTTCCTTTTGAAATTGTCTAATTCATACAAATTATAACAATTTATTATAACAAACATCTGTATGAAAGGTAAATAAAACATTACTGTCATTGTCAATGGCCTGAAGTCTTATTTAATTACGCTTAATTTTATAAAATGTACGGTTTAATTATTTTTATTTTCTTTTTGCATTATTTTTTAACAAATTCCATACTGTATTATGGCGAATATAATTTTTCTATCTTTCTATATGTCCCGGTTAAATTTTCTTCTAATTAAAATTCAGAAAAGTCATTATATTTTAATTGTAAAAATAAAATTAGATAACATTTAAAAGTATACATATTAAAAATGCATATTGTTTACATATTAAATAAAATATAAAAGTCCAATAAAAAAAATTTAAACATTATTTGATAGCAAAACTGAATCAAACCACACTCCAGTTTATAGCCGCCTCTGTAATGCCTACGAACCGATAGAGGCCGATAGCATGCGCTAGTCTGCAAATAACGGTAGGTATTCCGATAGTGCCAAATTGTTGATACCAACAAAAAGTTACCTTATTACATTTACTATATATTTTTTCATAATTAAGTATTATTACTTTTAATTTAACTATAAAATTTTAAATAGTCAACATTTACTATGCAACATGGAATAGCAATCAAGCTTCCGAATGCAATGTTGACTATTGTTCTATTTACGTGTTGCCCGTCCTGAGGACTGTAATTATCTCTCATAAATTAATAATTACATAATGTTTTTTATTAATAATTGTCAATATCGTAATAGAAATTAAAACGTATTGTCACTCATTAATATATACCGCCTGATTACACTTTATTTATCTGCACTTTTGTGATGGTACTAATTTTAATCTGCGTGTTAGTCCATGTGAGGATATATTATTTTCCAGTATATATTAATTTTTGTTTTCATCCCAAATGATACATATATTTAGGATAAAGAACCATTGTTATAAACCAATTGGTTGAGGTATTAAAACACTCAGAGACGCCAACAAAATAAACAAAAAATTTTAAATTTATTTTAATATTAATAAGAACCATCCTTATTTTACCTTAAAACCTATTAGCTAATAACTACACCATTGTAAATGGTTAAAGATATTTACAATAATAGACTTTAAAAACAAACTCATTTAAATCTTAATAAAATCAATATGCTATCACCAAGGAATAAATCTTTACTAATATTATAAAAAAGAAAGATTTGTTTGTTTGTAATGGATAAAACTACTCAACTTTCACTTATAAAAAACTATATTATTAGGAGACAATTTTAACTACCCGAGTAAAAACATGCCAGATCACTAGTTATTTCATAAAAATAAATTTATTAAAATTAATAAAAATAATGTACACGAAAATATAGCCAAACTGAGAAGTTGCCGCTTTTTTTATTCAATTACATTTTGTTACTTCCTGCGTTTTAAAATTACTTTAAAATTGTGTCGCTATAAAATACGCAGCGCCGTCTATATTTACGCAATCGGAAGTGGTAGTGACCGCAAACTTTATCGCAACATGTATGTGATGCGAGCTATCGTTGACCATACGTTCTATTTTTAACGGAACAGCCCCTTTTTTGATACTCTATTCTGGTGTCTTTGAAGAAAGCAGTGAGATGCGGAATTATTTTGAGAACAGTAAGAAAAAAATGTGACATAAACATAAAAATCGATTACTGTTCTACAATTAGTTGTTTTTGTTTTATTTTTACTAGACATCTGAAATAATTATTAGTTTCTTACAATAACTAAATAATAGAAAAATTTAATTTGTATAAAAAGTGGCACAAATTTAATTTGTATTAAAAATTATCTTACCTTTATCTCTAAATACTATTTTTAAAAACATTAATAAGTAATTTTTAATAACAGACCTTAGAAAATTATATGAATTATTAAATATCTAGTTTCATGTACTCGTAGTTTTCAATTCTTTACTTTTTTCTATTTATATTTAATTCAACTTGTTGCCAAAAAATCTATTTTATTTACTGTAAAATAAAATTTAGGTCAAATAAAATAGATCGTTTTTATATACTACTTTTATTGTAGCCGTATCAGTAACGAAGTACCTATAACAATGTCCCATTTTAAGTAAAAATAAAAATGGTCACGTTAACTATGGTGCGACGTATCGTGGCGCGTGTTCCGATGTCTGTACAATATACGAAATTTGCTGCTAACCACATCCTGCTCTTTTATTCATTTTTTACTAAGTTTTACAAAAAATCCCGATTTTTACCAGCGACTTCCGCCGTATGACCGCGTCTTATTGATAGATTGATAAAAAGTAGCTTATTTCCTTCTTTCTCTCGAATACTACGTGTACACCTGAAAAAAATTCATAACGATTGGTCGGATTATTAATGTATTAAAAGATAGCAAACAAACTTACTTTCAGATGTATAATATTAGGTTTATATATAAAATTTAAAAATAAATAACACGCGTAAAATTTAAAAGCTGGAAAACCAATGAAATAGGCCACTTCTAGATAACGATATCATATTTATCTATCTAGATTTTACATATCTAAATTTTAAGTTAGACTTTCAGGGGGAAAAACAGTGAAAACTGCATCTAATTTCGCGCAGTAGTTTTTGTGTGATTTTAAAACAAACAAAATATCTGGAAATTATTGTTATGGTATCTGTGGGTCTTATTTATTTTTCTTAAAATCTCCGATATACAGACATTTTCTAGTGACAATTTTATTATATTAGTAAAATAAGATGTTTTTGTTATTTATACATACGACTAGTTTCGGAACACAAACCTCAGGCGTATTTACAAATTTGACTTCTACAAAAACATAATGTACACATACGCTGAACAAAAACATCGCAAACTACCTATTAGTGACAGATAATGGTACTTTTGCCACAAATATTGAGTTGTATAAATTATTAAATCAGTGAAACTTTAAGTACAAATATTTTAAATTACATCGTTTAAACAAATAAAGTTCCATCAAGAAGTTACAACACAAACAGCGAACTGCAAAAAAATCCTATACGAGAGTGCAATGACCAGCCAGACAACATACCTGTATTTATTAGTTTAAACGTTTCCAACGTTTTATTTGTATAAATGTTACATTACGAGTATAAGAAAACGCTCATTGTTGTATTGTTAATATAACATTGACGCCTGTATTTATAAACTATTGAATATAAAACATTTGTATCTAGTCTCCCACAAATAAAATACATATATATTTCAAAGTAAAATAAATTGTTACTTTGCATACATTATCTGTCTTATGAATAACAAATAAAATACATTGATGTCCTCTTTTTGTTTTTAGAATATAAAAACTTTTCAATAAGATTAATAGTATCACTAAGAAACACATTACAATTACTTACATTATTTCTCACAAAAGACAAACCATTATAATCTTCAATATATTTCCATATGCCAATCATTTATCATTTTCTATACTATATTTATTTATAATAACTGAATATATTAACCACTTATAATACATGTTTCATGTTAAATTAGTATTTATTTATAATTACACCAAAATTCTGTAAAATGCAATGAAATATGTAACGATTTTGATTTTATTTCTATGACACCAATATGTAAATATATCCTTTCAGATAAAAAAATAATTTACCAAATCGGTTTACAACTAACAGAGTTGTGACGTAATAAATAAAAAAAAAGACAACTGAATTGAAACCCCTTTCTTTTTGAAGTCGTTTGAAAAAGATTCTTCTCCATTCATCGCAACCGATTGCTTTCGGAATAGAGAAAAAATAAACTGACAAGTTCTTAAGTAAATATCTATACAGCACTATTATTATAAAATAAATAACTTTTGACTTTGAAGAAAATAGTTTATGGATTTTTTTTTTTTATTTTAAAACTTTTTCTATTGTTACAGGATATTACCAGCCAGCGGGTCCCCTGATCAAAGAGAGCGGTGCAGAAGCGGAACGCACGCTGGCGAGATATCATCCTCCGCCACATTATCACGCCCCGCATCCCCCTGTAAGTATTACTTATTTATTGTAATATAACATGATTTATTACATTTAAATAAATAAAATAAAATGTTTATTTCGTAAATTGATAAACATTTGTCCTCTTAATGAAACCAATACTAGTTAACTAACGACTTATTCAATTATGAATACATACTTATTTTCGTTACATTCCATAGTGTTATCATACGTGTAATTTTCATAAAATGTATTATACAAGAAGGAGACTTTGTACAAAAGTCGATTGCTTGGGTACCTCTGTCCCATTCGTGTTTCTACCTTGAAGCAGTTGTGTTTGCATGGCTGTGTTTCGGTTTGGAGGGTGGGATATGGCGTGAATTTACAGGGTACAGAGGAATAACATCTGAGTCCTCAGGAATGGTAACGCATGGGGGGTATCATGGGCGAAACAGTATACTCTGTTATGTCCATGGTACTACTCATGTCTATAGGCGATGGTTACCACTTTCCATCAGCTTGTTTGCCATTCTAAGTTGTATAAAAAAAAATATAAAATTTTACTCAAATTGTTATCTGTAGCCCCATTATCTAAATATATTTTTTTCTAAAATATACTCACACTTTAATATGAAAATATATAAAACAATAATACATAATTATGATATTAAATTTATAGTTGGCACTTAGTGAAATTGGTCTACTTGAACAAAATTTATTTTTTAAATTACTCAATAAAGTATAACATCTCATAACTGCACATAATAATGTTGATGACTTTTCAGAATGCCATTATATGAAACTAGTCAGGTAACAAAATAAATAAAATTGTTTCTGTTTGAAGGTACTACAGCAATATGGACCGCCATACTACCCTGCGGAGCTATGTTACAGCCGGTATTACAGACCACCCGGCCCCTACCACATACCACCTCCGCAGCCAGACGCACAGGTTAGTAACCTTTAATTTTCGTAGCTTTTTAATTGCCTCATGATTAATATTAATAGAAAAAAAATTATATCCGTAGACAGCTGAGTTTATTTTTAGGATCATAATTTTCGCTATTAAAAAAATATTTATAAAATACTTTATTTCTGAAACTGGTATCATTACAGTATTATTTTAAATAAATTCTGTTTACTTTCGCATTGGTACCTACCATATACATTTTGTTTAAGTTATTGACTACCTACCTACTCAAATTTTATTTGGCTGACAATACAACATACTTAACACGTTGAAGACTATACTGCAAAATCATATTTCTCACATATTGACCGGTATTTTTTTTTATTATTATTAATTACGTATTTTTAAAATATTTTTTTTGTTGTACAATAATTCTATGTCAAATTAACTAAGTCAACTATACAGTATCTCTTCGAGGGAGCGACAAATTGACTACTGTATATAAATTGTATTTAAATAATGCCCACCGGTATACAAGCAGTCCCCAAGTAAAACATGTACCCACCCGTGAGCACGCGGGACGGTAATGTTGTTGCGGAGTGACCCGCCGGTGGGCATGCGTTCTTTTAACGTGTTAAACTTAATATACACCACACATGCACCTTGGCTGGTCTTATTAAAAAATATAGTAGTACTACAATTAAAAAATTAGCCTCTTTTAGTCATCAACTGTTTGCTTTATTTCCAGATGGTAGGTGTTAGCAACGAACCGTATCCTCCCCCACAGTATTACGGAACACCACCGTGTTATCAACATTCACCACAAAGGATACCATACGTGGGTGAGTACATACATATGTTCTTAGTTCAACTGTATTTTTTTTTCCATTAAGCGATATAGTCATCTTATATATTGTTTTATACATAAATTCATTATATGTAGATAAAAAAATAATAATATTATTAAACTCACAAAATTAAATACGTAATAATTATGACTCATAAGGTATTATACCTTCTATATCCATCCATATCAGCCGTTAATTATCTACTGCTGAACATAACACTGCTTTCGCCTATCGGGGGGTTTTGCCAGTAGTTGCCACGCTCGGCAGGCGAGTTGACAACCGCAGCTAAGCCTTAGTGAAGTTTTAAAAGGGATGCTGCTGCCCTTTCCTCGACCATTAATAAAGGAAAGGGTTGCCAATTCTATGCCAGGACCACACGGCACCTTACCTGCTTAATAATACCTTAATGTAGTTATTAATATAAGTATCTACTAAAACAATGTTTTTTGAACGAACAAGAAATTATATAGATAGATAGATACTCTTTATTGTTTCCTCCAAAAAATTACAACAGTAAACTTATTCTAGATATAAACAATTACAAGAAATAATCACACTGAAAAAACAATGGGCGACCTTATCGCCAAAAGCGATCTCTTCCAGGCAACCTTTGGATGGAGAGAAGTAATTATAAACAGTTTGATTGTAGGTGAATCTAACTGTTTATGATGATTATTTACACGATGAAGATCCTATTATTACTAAATATGTACTATATTTTTATATTATATGAAGATATCAAGTATTACTTAATTTTTCCTCTGTGTAGTAATGCACCGCCTACTTATTTCTCGGTTTGGTTTTGATTAGACTCATTTATCCAATGGTTGAGTAGAATTTTATTGCGCATTAAAGTTTAAATAAATAAATAAACAACGCGACATTATTATTAAAGTGCCACTTCTACCTAGTATTCTTATGTAACAACACTATTTCCTTTACGTAAAATACATCTCACACTCGTATAATATGTAATAGTTGAAACTAAACCCTATCTATTCTTTTATTTTAGAATACCGCCAATGTCCGTGCCCACTAAACACGTGTCCAAAAAACGTCCTTATTGGGCCCGCTACTGGTAAAGCCCCTACCGGTGGCGGCCCCGCGGACGTTCCCTCCGCGCTCGCGCCGCCCGGGGGCGCCTTCCGAGCGAAGGTGCGGGCGTGCGCACTCGACGCCAGCGTAGTGCCAGATACGCTCGCCCACGGCAGCGGCAAGGTAAACAAACAAACTGATTCATAGGCAAACGTCGCGAAAACTCTGCCCCTCTTATTCTGTCTTAATATTGTAAACATTTCCAGGATCCGCCGCTAGAAGCCGAGCCACCAGCAGCCGCGGATGCACCTCGTCCGTGCCCACTACCTGCTATGGGCGGAGCGTCGCCTAAACGCGAAATATATGATGCACGCGATAAACTTCGCCGCGTCGGGGACATGCCCGTGCTAGGCCCGCCGTCACCGGCGCGAGGCTCGGCCGGTGTGTGCGCCCCGCAACCTCCACCGGTAGCTCCCCGCCGCGCGCGCTTAGGCAAAGAAATGGCCCGTAGATCACTCGCCGGCGACGACACTGGCGTCCTTCTTTCCGCCCCACTCGCCCCTCTAGCGCACCATAGCGACGCCGACGATGACGTCCTCGCCATCTCACCTCCGGTCTGTGCTCCCATTGACCTATCCTCCTCAGATGAAAGATCCACACCGCTCGTGGACGTGAAAAAAGAAAACGAGGGCCCGACAAATACGCCACCAAGAAAACCCGACGCGCAAGCACTTAGGGAACACAACTGCACTACAAACTCGGACACTATCAATACTAATGATACGGCGAAAGCGGTGAAGCGTAGACACTCAAAGCCCAAATTAGAGATCGATATGAAAGATACACAGCTTGAGGATAGTTGTAAAACAAATGGTATCGGCGAACACGTTAAGTTACAAAAACGTAGAAAAGTTTCTGGTGAACAAACGGATACTCGGTCGGAAACGGTTACGAAAGAACCGAGAAAAAGAGCATCGCCAATTAAAAGGATATCCAAAACATCATCTGTCGAAAAGAAAACCGTAAAAAGAAAATTAGACAGTACTCATAATGAATCGCGCGCAAAGAAAACACAAATAGAATCTGTAAATGAAGATCCTCGTCTGAAAAATGTAGCAGCAGTAGTCGAGGAAGCGTTACTTATAAAACCTAAAACTAAAAGTGCACTTCTCCTCGACAAACTTTTAAGAAAAAACAGCATCGATAGAGCCGATGCTAAAGGATACTCTTCCGATACAGAACTGAATCCAGCGGAGTTATTTTTATCGCCCAATGAAAATATTTCTCAAAATTGTCCAAAAAAAACCTTAAACATAAATAACAATATTGTCGATAATCATAACGCAATTAATGGTGTTCGGCCTAATAAAATAGCTGCCGTAAATCAATTAGTAGGGAAAAAACTACCCTACAAGAGTAATTGTAAAGTTGATAAAGTAGATTCCAAAATCACACATAATTTAAAATCAGTATTAAAATCGCCCACCGCAAAATCGGTCCTTAAAGAGGAATCTAATGTGATAGTGAAAGAGAAGCAACCCGATAAACTTAGTGTTAAGACCTCAACAGATAAAAGGGAGACGACGGTTTTAAACGTCGATATTTCATCTCGCAAAGAAAGTAATCTCGAACCTGCGATAGACAAGTGTTCAAAAGGCGGTAAACTCTCTAAGCCATCCAAAACGAGAGCAGAAACTACCACAAAGATCGCCGTTGTCGACGAACCCGAGCGAGCAGTAGAATCGAAGGGAATTACAGAGAAGCGATCCAGCGACGCGTCGACGATTGATCGGCCGAGCGATGTCGTCGAAAGCACAACAGCGAGTAATGCGAAACCAGAGCGGCCATCGAAACGATGCAAGCTGAGCGTGGAGCAAAAGGGGAAGAATGTCGAAAAAGTGGTGAAACTGCTAGTGTCGAAGAGGCCGGCGATAAAGACAGACGACGCGGTACTGGTGACAGAGGACGCGTGCTCGTCGCCGACACCGCCGAGCGCGGGTCGGCGGGCGCGGCGGCGGCGGCCCAGCACGGTGCTGGCGCGCCGTTCGCGCCGCCCTGCTGCGCCGCTCGCGCCGCCTGCGCTCGAGCCGCGCGCCGCGCCGCGCTGGAGCAATGGCTGGAGCTTCGACGGAGAACACTACATTTCCAAAGTCTACCTCAATGTGAGTTCTTGCATTCTTATCCGCATAATAACTGAATTTAGTCCTAATTTACATTATAGGCATTAAATTTTTTATCTAAATTTATTACAAGTTTAGACAATAATATTAGATGCATGACCCCAGTTTTGAAAATATTAGATATCGTGGCAACCAAATCAGTTTAAAAATGTTTAATTATTGAACTGTAATGCTGACTGTTTGAAGTATCAATATAATTTAATAATTTGTGGCTATTACTACTGCCTCTAGTCTTTACTATAATTTTATTTGTCAAAGCGATTACCTTTATATCTTCACATTATCTCGATATTAAAATTGGGCCACCGATATCTAGATGTTATTTTCAAATAAAGTAAAGTAGGATGGCTTTGTTGACATTTGAGCTTTGTTATTGACAATGTTGCTGTAGTTTTCGATAGTATTGTTTAATTTTGTGTATTTGCTTCACTTGCATTATACATTTGTGCAAATTTTAGTGGCTGTTTATTATTTAAGTGTGTAATTATCTATTGTTATAACTGTCCGTGTACCTTAAACAAAAAAATAGACATGGAAGTATATTAATAACATAGTATATGGTATGTAGAACGACTCGCGGCTGGACCGGCCGGCGCGGTGCTGGTCGCGCATGTCGCACGCGAGCGGCGACCGCGTGTCGCGCGGCGACTGCGTGCTGCTGCGCGCCTCCGTGGCGCGCGCGCAGCCCTTCGTCGCGCGCGTCGCCAGCCTCTGGGAGAACCCCGACGATGGTCAGTCTGCACATAGCTTACCGAATCTATCCATTACTGAATTCTAGTTATTAACTTTCTTATTTCGATAGTGTACAGTTTTTGAGAGACCATATTCTTGAATCATGACCTACGAATGGCAAAGAAGCTGACACCCGATCTACAGTAGCAACCGTTATTTGTAAAAACTTGTAATTGGCTATCGATCGTCTTTATGCATTTTTACCATTATTGTAAAATAAATAAAAAATAATCGTATTTAAACAAGGTCGACGCCATAAGTTTCGAAGATTGCTGATTAAACTACAGACGACGAAGACACCTTCTGATAATAATACTTAGACTACTTGTAGTAGAAATAACTATTGTTGTGTCACAGGCGAGATGATGGTATCCTTGGTGTGGTACTACCGGCCTGAGCACACGGAACACGGCCGCCAGGCGGCCGACGCGCCTGATGAGGTGTTCGCGTCCCGCCACCGTGACGCCAACTCTGTTGCCTGTATCGAAGACAAGTGCTACGTGCTCAGATACAACGAGTACTGCCGGTTAGTTTGCACAACTGCTGCCGCCCGTAACGACGATGGCTTGTTCGTGTTTTAATACTAGATACAATTCCTGACATGGAAACATCACTCTACGATGCTATGTACTAATTAACATCACTATACGATGCTATGTATTAATAACTGTTCACTGATTGATCTTTATATTTTCCCCATCGTCATCTTTAATTGTCCTTTAATTGTCCGCTGCTTGGGGGGTTTTGCCAATAGTTGCTATGCTTGGCAGGCGGATTGGCAACCGCAGTCAGGCTTTAGAGAAGTTTTAAGAGGGAAGCTACCGCGGTTGCGATCACACGGCCAATTTTTCCCATACTTCGCCACAAAGCATGATGCTAAGCCACCTTCAACGACTCCTGTAATGCTTTTCAGGTTGGCGGTTTTTCGCATGAGGGTTGACTGTATACTACGCTTATTTACGACTTTTATTATGTATAACTATTACTATGTTTTTTTCAAGTAGTACACAACCAGTCTGTGTTTGATTATCTCTAAAAAGCTACTCGAAAATTTACTGTGATAAAAATTTATATGTAGTCCGTCCGAATAATCCAAAAGCCAAAAGTTTCTCCAGTGACGACTCCGAAAAATATATGCAATATAGACTTACCCACATCATAAATTGAAAGAACCGATACCGAAGTCCCCTACCATTAATTAATCAATATTAACCCAACAGTTACAGGAAACGGCTAAAAGCAGCGGAAGAGGGAATCACATTGGCGCCCTCTATAGTACCACCGATGCCCGCCAGCGAGGTGAGCCCTGCGCTCGCACCCAACGACTCCAAGTTACCGCTCACCGTCTCACCGGAACTTGTACTCTTCTGTCGCAAAGTTTACGACTTCCGGTCCAAGAAGATATACGTCCCTAACAAATGAGCCATGCGAAATAATCGCGTGGTTACTAATCGTTGGATCTCTGCTGATCTTTTTGGAGCCAATCGTGAGCTCGAAACTAAATGGGTGCGTGACTTTTTTTATAAGTATCACAAATCGACTAAAAGGAGTGAACACCAAAGTTACATTATGAAGTTAAATACCTATTTGTCGGCGGTACTTCGTGATACGTGGACAGAGATGATTGATTCATCGCGAGCGAATCGAGCGGCGTATGGGAATGTTTGAATGGTGACTCGGCTATTCCTAATCGTAGTGTGTCTCACCCCAACCTTTAAATTAGTACAAAAAATACGTTCCCGGGTGCAAAACGTAGAATGTGTGACCTGTGACAATTTTATGTGAAACTAAGTAAATCGTTGTGTTTAGTGATCGCCGATTGGTCCGTTTACGTTGCTTGTGTCGTGATTTTGTAGTAGACATTTCTTTTTTAAACATTTTACAGTGATTTGCTGTTTTATTTTTATTTTATGGACGAATATTTTTTACAAATGATGCCTTTTATAATGTGTAAGTAGTTGTAAGTAAAATCACGAATGGTAAAGATATCTACATAAATATGTATAACAATATACATATTGGATTTTTTCTTAGGGATTGGCTATGTTCTATCCCACTTTTGGAGAAGCAATTGTGAACGCGTGAGTTAATAATCTTCATGCGAATCGTTAAAAGTTTTGTGTTGAAAATTTGTATGACAGGAATGATTTTTATTTTATTTAAACATTAAGTTTCTATTCAGCTACGCGAGAAAAGGCATTTATAATTACGATTATTTTTAATTAATTGTTACATTGTTGTCAAAGGAGAGTCTATATTAAATTATTCTTTTATTATTTAAAAGTAGTAAGAGCGATATTTGTCTGCAACCTAGTAAGTGGGGTCTCATTTAAATTTACTAAATCGTTTCCCTTATTACAACAGGTTCACAAAATCATGATAGTGTATACAGTGAATTTATTGTTTTTTTTTATTTTTTTTTATATCACATGGATATATTTACAAATGTATCGAATACTTAATCCTTTATATTTTAAAGTCCCACTGAAATAAATATGACCCTTATCTACGAGTAAGAAATCCGTATTAGTAGTGCTAATGCATCCAGTCATTATAATATCAACAGTAGAATTTTAAACGTTTATATGTGTTGGATATTGTATACGTGTAATACCTATAAAGAAATAAATTTTGCCTATAATAACCTGCCTTCGAAGGAATTGATTTATTTCGGCCGTATACAGCAAAAATAAAAACATTTTTCATATAATGTCGCAGTACATTGTGGGAAGACTGATTTTGCGAAGGTGGTACACTTTTTAATTTTGTCATTACGCAGTCAATTCCGAGACAACTGTGTTTGTTTGTCTACGTTCACATAATTATCTACTCGTCAGCCAATATTTTACACTAATTGAAAAATAACAAGTGGGAACATTGTAACATATTTTAAATGTAATGTTAGTGCATAGATGTAAACAAAAAAAAACACGTGGGTGTTGGATGAAAAGAGATATATTGTGTATGACTGTCATAGTGAAATCTCTTTATCATTAGAAACATAATTTTAAGTAGCGCGGAAAATTGAATAAAGAATATATATTTAACGTTATAATTCCCGCGTGGAAGATTGTAAAGGGCATTTATACGTTTGCAACTCGTGTATTTCTCTTTCTATCCTTACTGTTTCTTACGATGTATCTGTGTATTTTTGTTTACCTATCGTTTAAAATGTTAATATTTTGTTGTACATAACTTCTTAATTTATTTGTAAGACTTGCTATTTATTCTAACTAGTGAGATTTATAAATACATTGTCTTATTAAATAACGTAGGTACATGTTCTTGTTCATTAAAGTAGGTAATCAAAAAATTACTTCCTCTCAGTGCCTAATGGACTTTCTTAATCAGTTCAACAAAAACGTTCTTAAGAAATTGTTGAAGCTGCATAGGACCAACTCTCGCCATATTCATGATGTAACTACTCACCAACTAGATTGACTAATTGACTTGTATTGACCTCATATAAAGCATATATATTTTTAATGGACTAAAAATTTTGAATCGTTTACCTTCATTTAATTTGTATTGTTATAGATCAAAGTTCAGGAATCGAAACAAGAAAATAATATAATGAATATTTGCATTACCACTCTTATCTGAAACGCCTGTAATAGTGTACCATGTTTGTTCGGATATGAATACAGTTCTGTAAATATCAGGTAAATTTTCATCACCCACACGCAAATTTATCAATTCCGTGTATATTTTTATTAGTATATTAAATAAGAAATCGTGAATAGTCTGAAATTAGCTTCAAAACACCGATTTGGCGGTTAACCGTGATCATTTCCTAACAAGAACTTTTATAGGCATTACAGAAAACATCTTGGTTCTGAATGTATTCTATTATATTATATATTATAGAATATTTCACATGTAACATAGGAAAGGAGAATGTTTCACCTAAAGTTAGAAAACAAAATTACAAAAAAATTTTAAATCAGTTATGACGTATTCGTGATTAACTATCGATATAATTGTCTAAATAGAGATTATTATTATTAAACAAATAAAATGAAACATTCATTACAATTCCTCAGTTCCTATATAGGTACTTACCTCAAACCCAATTAAAATTATTGCCTACCTACTTTATAAACCTACTTGTACATCACACAATCTCACTAGTTGTCTGTTCCAAAGCTTAAGTTTTCTATATCTTATTCCTATTTTCTATTGCTTGATGCCAAAAAAAATTAGGTGCAAAATTCTATTATTCTGTAACAATGTAATACCATTTCCCTTCTATTTAGGTTACACAGTGACGATATGGTCTGCGAAGAATTAGCTTATAAACTCACCTATTGTAATCACCGTAGAATCTCTTTCATTTTAAATTTATTTTATTTTAATGTGTGTAGATACTTGAATAAGACCGAGTAATAAAAGCACAGAAATAGTAATAAGTCTATTTATAATTTATAAACTGTATTGGAACTATACAAGTATATGAGACTGCAGACATGATAAAAATAAAAGCATAAGTTATAGGATTTCAGACATTATAATATGATGAAAACATATTACTTACTTGTAAACAAACTTGCAATACCTATACTGGAATAAATGAAATAGCTTTATGTCCCAAATTATTAAATTGCTTCTATCCTTAGATTAAGGACTGTTCTAATCAAATTTCATAGATTAACAATAACACGTTCTCTATCTACAAAAGTTCCATTTTTAAATGTCAGTGGATATATTTTTCTAATGTTTGGTCAAGTGTAAACCCTTCGCAGATTTTATCGTCATTATTACTCATTATTAATTAATTATAGAATTAATGAGTAAATTCCATAATACTACTATTACTATAAGTAAGCTCTCCCTTGCTTGTAGGTGGATTGTTTTAAAGAATGTTACCTGGTATTCTGCAGTTGCAACCTTCTTATAGTCAATGATTTTAGAATTAGGTTTTAATTACTAATAAGAAAAAAAAATACCTTGTTTTTATTATTTATTTTGTTTCAATGGAAATTATATAGGTATATTTTTATTATTGTAACCTACATAGTTATGTTGGCTGTAATTTAATATTGATGTAATTAATATATGTATTTTTATTTCTACAAGCCTTTTATTTTTTGGCATAAATAAAATAAACCTAAATTTATTTTTTTATGCATTTTACAATAAAGCTGAAGGTCCACTTGATAAAAAGTGCTAACCGTCGGTTATAGACACAAACAGTAGTCATAACAGAGAATACTGTATCAAACATGATACCCCTGATGCGTTACCATTCATAAGGACTAAGGTGTTGTGCCTCAGTACCCTGTAATTTCACTGTCATAACCCACCGTTCAAATCGAAATATAGCCATGCAAATACGACTGCTTCACGGCAAAAACACGAAAGAGGTATAAGTACTCAAATAAACAAATTTTATACAGGAGGCCACTGTGCTCTGAGTAGTGTTTTTTACGTGCGAGTAAAAATTATATTAGGATTCTTAATAATAACAATAAAAGCAGCTAGGAGCTATTTTATCTTTATCTGCCTGTTGACATACCTCTGTATGTCATCAACGAAAAACTACTGCGCCAAATTGAATGCAGTTAATCAAATAAATTACACACCTCAACACCGTCTAGGGATATTTCATATAAAGTTCTTAAATTCTAAAAATACTGACTATTTTTTTTAAGATATTTTATAGGTATTTGTTAACGATTCTAAATTTGCATTTGAAAAAAAAATTATAAAATCAATTGATTTGCGCAATATTACTAAGGTGAAATTTGAATGATTCAATTTACCTATCATAGTTTTTTTAAATTTTTTTTGTCATTTTTTTTTTGTTTTAAAGCAAGTGATATGATTGGTTCGTAATTTATGCGACTGTTTTCATCATGCAGCGGCGCCATTTAACAAAAGAGGAGATGTTACGGGCAGTAGGCATGCTCCAAACGGTGGCTACTCTACGGACGGTTGCTAAGGCGATTGGAACAAAACAAAATGTGATATCAAGATTATGGTCACGTTATCGTGCTACTGGTGAAGTGGCTAAAGGACACCCTGGCAGGAGGCGCATTACCACTCACCAGCAAGACCGATTTTTGCAAGTTTCCGCGAGAATGCAACGAAATGTTACAGCCATGCAGTTAGTTCAAAGGCTTCAATCAGAGCACCAATTGCTTGTGGATATCCATCCTTACCATGGCTGGACAGTTATTGTTTGGGCGGGAATTCGTGTCGGTAGCAGAACAGACCTCACTTGGATCAGAAACACCATAACCGCTGAAAAATACCGTAACCAGATGCTAATACCAATTGTCCATCCCCATCGACTGCAAATGGGCCAAGACTTTACACTCATGCAAGACAACACCCGCCCGCACACAGCGCGAGTCTTGACCAGCTGGCTGCAGGAGCACGATGTGTCCGTCTTAAGCTGGCCCGCGCAGTCACCAGACGTAAACCCCATAGAGCACACGTGAGACATACTCCAAAGAAGGGCTCTAAAGGATTTTCCTGCAAACATTGCAGCAGAAGACTTTGATCACTTGATTCAAAGAATGAAAAACCGCTGCAGAACCGTTATTAATGTCATGGATGGTTTTACTGACTTCTAATTTCTGTATCATTTTAAAAAACTTGAAGACTTAGCTTTATTTTTCTTTTTTCTTATAAAAACATTCATCTTTAATTTTACCATTTTTCCATTTTTTCCTTTAATTAAATAAAACTTAAATTATTCAAAAAATATGACTTTATTTTATTTTGAAGTGTAGTCTGTTAAAAGGGCTATTCAAAAATATACCTATACATATTGCATTGTATTTATATTTGTATTTTAGTAAATGAAGAAAATTCTAAATATGCCTAGACGATGTTGATGGTTTATTACTTTGCACGAGTTTGTCCTATGACAATATTAAGAAATTCCGAGTTAGAAAGTTTCTCTAGACTATTAGGATAGGATTTATGATGAACAAAATGTTAAGCTCCATTTACTGAGTCGATTTCGGTACGAACAAAAACACGAAATTGAGTCCGAAAATTCAGAATTTCATTTCATGGTAGATCACCTGATCGCAAAATATAAAGTCAAAGATATAGAACCGATTCATAATGGAAAAAGTGCACAAATAGTAAGTAACTATTTCTACAAAAAGAAATATGATAACTCAGAAACTACGGAGAATTTAATTTTAGCGCAATCTAAATTGAATAGTGCGCCATCTATTATTAGTGGATCATAATAACTGTACTTTCTTATTTAATTTTAGCGTCATTTAATTAGATAACCATACGATCTATCGGCGAGTGAGGAAACACGGCCAAATTATTAATATTTTTGGTTTTATGAGATTGGAATGGTACCACAGATCCAGCCCTAAAAATGGTTGTTGCAGCTAACGTCGTGATTATTTGCTCTGTAGTCACAGTCATCCGAAGATCGACCACGTACAAGTCGGAGTATAAACATGCTCATAATCAATGTAGTGCATTTCTATATACGAGATGGTTACTATATTGCGACCTGACAAAGATTTTGCTCAGTGTATTCCAGTTCTACGTGAATGAAACCGTGGGGGGCTATGATAAATTAATAAACCAATACAATGTTTGTTTGTTCGCTCACGAAAATTACAAAAATAAATGTATGTTTGTTTGCATGACTGTATGATTTTGAGTCTAAATGTAACTTTGTTAAAGGTACATTTAGACTCAAAGTCATACAATTTTGATTTTGAAATTTTTACAGTTTCAAAAGAAATCAAATTAACTTAAACGCTAATATACATTTTGTGTGGTGTGATCCCGCCATGGCCGTGTGGCATAGAATAGACCACCCCTTTATTTCCCGTGGGTGTTGTAAGAAGCGACTAAAGGAACTTATGCCCGAGAGATGGAAAGCAGCATCGCCAATAGCCTAATTGCGGTTGTCAGGGGGTGAGGGGGGATGGAATTGTTAGTAATGGAGTCAAATAGCCCCATTTCTAGCAATATATCCTGTCAGGTCGATCTCCACGTGGTTCCCGCTGGAAACCATCGTGGCTGATTCTAGTTGAATTAGTTTTTTTTTAATAGGTGATAATGATACGGTATCCCCGTCTGCGCTATCGGTATACAATGGCGGGGCACCAGTGATAGATGACTAATGAGGATAAAAGTAGGTCAGTTAGCCCATCCTGACGAATTCAACTAGAATTAGCTATGATGGTTTCCAGGAGGAACCACGTATCGACCTGACAGGGTCTATTGCTAGCAGAATTTTCACTTCTCTTCATTCAATGCGAAGACTTCAATGCTTATTTTCTTGTGGTACAAAAGTGTTGCTGGTACAACCTCTGCTCCTTCCCTTTTTCGACTACTGTAATATTGCTTATCTGGACCTCTCAGCAGAGTTGCTTGACAAATTAGGAAGACTTCAAAATCAATGCATCAGGTATGTTTTTGGTTTTCGTAAACATGACTGTCTCCAACTACTTAGTAGTTAGTTATTGGAGGATATCTTATGCAGTGCCCGGTAGCATTCTGCCTGATCTCGTAAGTAAACCTTCTAGCAGACGTAAAAATTATTATAGAACTCATATGGGAATCACAATTGACATTTGAATCCATGTCTGGTAATAAAATGACTGATGGAGTAATCATAACATTTATTATAATATGGGTATATTTTATTATTGTAGGCAATTAGTACATCCACGAAACCTGTACATACAAATATATAACATGTTATCACATTTGAATACTTGTGTATGCACGACAATAATTGTAATAAAAGAAAATATCATTACAACACAATACAGAAAGTATAACAGATGCAACAAGCCCACATAACTAGATTACACTGAAATACCTAATAATCCTAGCTCATACTATTTATTAATATATTACTATTATTATTGAACATTTCCATAATACTTACCCAAAAATACCCAGCATATTTAAGTGCAAATGTAACTATATACATTTTATAGGTACCTACACTTTAATATGTTCGTTACTTAAGATACAGATGTAGAACCCTTCTCAGGAATCATTAAACAATCTCATTAATTCTTAATATGTGTATGTTACTATATTTATAAATGTACATTAAATCAAATTCACCTTTTACAAGTCACTGATAAAAAGTACTTTACTATAACAGCACCACTCCAACACAACATAAAACTTGTCATTTAAATTTCGGCTTAAATAACACTATAAACATAGCTACAATAAATTAGCCAATGGCTCATAGTAAGCATGGTGGGTATATCAAGTGAAGTCTGTTTAGGCCTCATCTGAATTAGTAAATTATAATATAATTTTATAATCACAAAACATGTTATTAACTGTACAGAAAGGGATTTGGACAATGAAACATGTTTCTGTTTTCCATAATAAACACAATCTTGAAATGTAAAAATTTATGGAATGTTGAAAAAATATACATCCAGATAAAGAAATACACAGATTTTTTTTGTGGCAATTTTTGTATGTTGATTTTGATTAAAATGATATTAGTAAACTTTAAAAAGACTTAAAAATAATATATTTCGTGAAATACAATTATAGGTTAACAATAATCCTGATAAACATTATAATTTTCTAAAAGCATCTTAGTTACATTTTAAAAAATAAAGAAATACTTAATTTTCAAATAATCATTGTGATTTTTATAAAAAGCAATCACAATGCATTGTATACAACAATATATTATACATATTATATGGATAACAGATATCACTATTACTACAATATAAAAAGATTTACTTTATTTATTCTGAATAAAGTAGATCCTGAATTAATAAAACAATACAGATGTCTCTTCCTTGTGATAATTTCTGAACATTCCAGTTTACACATACATATATATTCAATTTAATTGAACACGAAACAGCAGCGTAACATTAACTACTTTAAATATAAAACAATGGCCAATTCATTCCGAATAACATTGAGATTTCTCAATAGGTACAGCAGCTGTTAGTCTTGCGTGCAGTTTTGTAAAATGTTTTACTATGCAATGATAAACTATTAGACTTTTCCACTAGATCGTCCAACTTTTCTCCTCTCTCTAGTACAGCTTTTATGGTATCATGTAAAATAATTTTCGTTTCATCCAAATCATTCTGTATCTTAGTCAATGCATCAGCTTCCCTGGGGTTTTGGTATTTGGCTAGATATTGAGGTAATACCGGAAAGTCTATAGTAGTCTCATTACCAGTAGGCCAATTGTTAACTGGCACTGATGCTGTAAATTCATCTAATATTTTTGTAATCAATGTGTGTGCTACTCTATTTGGATATTCATGGTCCGATATTAATACACCAGCTAAGTTGTCTGCTCTGACATATACTTGCAACATGTATTCTCCTTCTTTTACTGATTGCCGTGAAGCTTGTTGCGTCCTTTCCACTATCGTCTTACTAACAAATGTCATAAATTCTTGTACAGAGCTTCTTTGAAAAAAGCTGAAACTCTGTAAGTCATATGCTGCCTTAAGTATTGAGGCATTATTAATTCCTTTATAGAGTACCAGAAGTGCATAAACTTTCACCATCTCTACAGTATACTGTACCAAGTTATCTGATAAAAATCTGTAACAAATAATTTCCACTGATAGTACATTAATGGAGAAGAAATATTACCAAAATTAATCTTCAGCATAATATAAAAAGAAATATATAGTGTCGAAAGAAACAGCTGATATAGCAATTAAATAAACCAAATAGACACAATTTATTGGATTATTGTCTGTTTGTGTTATAATTGGCTAGCTTGACCCAAACTACGAAAATTTAAAACAAAGTGAAAGCTACAAAATAAATTTACCTTTAGACACTTTCAATAAGACTTTGAAATTACTATGCTCATAACAAATACAATTTTACTAAACCATGCAATATATTTAAATATGTAAAGAAATGATAGAACAATTCTCTTTTCTGTATAATATATATATTTTAGAAATTTTGACTCATACCTTTATACGTCTTTCTCTCGTCGACAGTCGACTTCGTTGTTTTTGCTGTCAAATGTCAATGTCAAATCTCAGTGTTAACAACAGTAAAAAGAAACTACTTGCTATCTTTAATCTATAATAAACATGCCAATTGACCCCTTACAACTTTCTTAAATTTTAAATACAGACACTTAGTGGAAAAATAAAATAAGTAGTGATTAAAGAATTTAAAGTTTTAATCATAAATGGTCAAAATTAATTCCTGATGAATTCATCATGATGGGCTAACTGGCCTGTTTTCATTCTTATCCGTGCTTCGCCAGCGTATTCCGTTAGCGCAGGCGGGGTTACTATACCATTTTCACCCATAAAAAAAGATATATTCGAACTGAACTCGAGTTTCCGTTGAAGGAAAATGTTATAAATATCATAAATATGTGCACACTTCATTATAAGCTATAGATAACGATTTTTCGTAAATTAAAGATAGTTGTTGTGATATTTTTAATTTTTTTGTATTTGTTACTATTGTGTTCTATCGTCTATCAATCGATGATTACCTGTCTTAAGGTTTTTTTTACATATGGCAGGGCACAAAACAAAGTTTGGATAAGAGCATTTTAGTGAAAGGAGTTTTGGACGACGGAATTTTACCTATTTTGAATTGTGTCAGACTTAATCTCTTCTCTTTCTCTCTAGTACTTCTAATTTTGTTCGTTTTATTTTATAATCTGTGGTCATAGCAGAAGATCATTAATCTATGGCAAAAAACCTTGTTTTTTCCAACTTTGCGATTTCTTTCTAATCTTTTGCTTTATATTAAATAAATGTTCTTTATAAATTGTTTATTTTAGGATATTTGGATCAAAACGGGATTTCGTATATAAATCATGTCCGAAAATGTGGAAAAAACTGAATCTGGAAGTGATGCCCGGAGAAGAATACTCAATATTGCAGTATCGACTGTTCTTCTGGAGACTGGTTTTGAATCTACAGATAAAATGTCTTTGGAAACCCTCACAGAAATGCTTCAATGTTGTAAGTATAAATTGTACTAAATTACTACTTCTTTAATTTAAAATATCTATTCAATAAAAAGTAAATTCATAATAGTAAAATTAGTATTGTATATCAGAACAATAATAATCAATTTCTTTCCTATAAGAATCACCATAAGAGGTGCATGTAGAAAAAGTGAAACGTAAGATTCCTTGTGATGGAGATTTCTACATTATTTATTTTGTATTTTGTAAGTGATTATAGAATTACATTAAAAGCAATATATTATGTTAAATGAAAGTTACACAATACTACTGTACTATGTCTTTTTCATTTCATTTACTGTAACTGAATTAATTACAACATTGATTTCTATATATGAACATAATTTTTACATTAAAGAAGTACAGGTGACACAAATATTTAGGCATTATCATACCTTTATGTAGCATAGGAAGATTTTATGCCTCTAACATGTTTATTAATTATAATTTGCTGTTTTTTCTTTACTAATTTTTATAAATATATGCATAATATCTATATTAACATTATAATTCCAATGCTATTACAGTTTTTACAGAAGTTGGTAATTCAGCAAAAGGCTATTGTGAACTTTCCGGCAGAGTTGAACCTGTACTTGGAGATGTCGTAATGGCCTTGATAAATATGGGTATGTTATTTTAAAATATTAAAATTGTTATTAACTGATATACAAATTTATATATATACATAAAATACTGGAAATTTATATGCTTTTTTAATATAGGTATTAGCCTTCAAGGTTTAGAACAGTATGCTGCTAGACCAAACAGACATGTAATACAGCCTCCACAACAGGCACCAGCTCCTCGAACTCCAGCCATGCTGTCAGCTGGTTCAAAAGCAAAACATGCACCTCACATTCCTTTCTATTTGCCGCCTCTACCTGATCCTCATGCCTACATTAGAACACCAGTAAGTTGTAAAGTATATAATTTTTATATATTTACTAAATAATCAGGTGAACTTTATATCACCTGCAATTCATTCAAATCAGGTGTTAACTGTCCACTGCTAAACATAAGTCACCTCTCTTATAAGGGGGATTTTGTCAGTAGTTTACCACACATGGCAGATGGTTAGGCAACCATGGTTAACTTTTTGTGATGTTTTAAAAGGATGCTGCTCCCTATTTCTCAAACTTTAAGTTCCCTTAGTCACCTCTTATAACACCCATGGGAAAGAAAAAGATGGCCTATTCTATGCTAGGACCACACAGTGTCTCCTATGCCCTTTTGAGATTTAGTAAGATAATTGTTCATTAGAACAATTATTGATTTTTACATAGATTAAACTGTGTGGTCCTGATATTAAATCAGCCATCCCTTCCTTTCCCGTGGGTGTCATAAGAGGTGACTAAAGAAGGGCAAGGGATGGGCAGCAATGTCCCTCTTAAAATGTCTCAAAACCCAAACAGCCTGTTGCCAATCTGCCTGCCGAACGTGGCTTCTACTGGCAAAACTACCCTAAGGAAGAAGCTTATGTTCGGTACTAGGCAGTTACAGGCTGATATGATAATATAGATTAAATAAAAATTTTATTTTCCAGACTCATAAACAACCTGTAACTGAATATGAAGCTATCAGGGAAAAAGCAGCCACACAAAAAAGAGATATAGAAAGAGCATTAACCAAGTTCTTAGCAAAAACAAGTGAAACACATAATCTTTTTAATACAGAGGATAATCAAGTTTTTCCATGTAATCCAATAATTTTATTTATATGTCATCATTGATCTTATATGAAATCTGTTGTTAAAATCTAAATACACAAATACTGGATCAATTGAAATTAAAAAAGATATGACATTAACCTTAGGAGCTAATTTATAAATTGGTTCTATACTACTACTATATGATAAAGGTTGTTAAATGGAATTTTTTTTTCATGAAGATCCAGGAAATATGAAAGTAATTTTCGTAAAATCTTTTAAATATGAAAAAACTACAAAGGCATAGACTAAACATTATTTAGCCAATTTTTTAAATTCAATGTTCTCTTTTTTCAGTGATTGCATGTAAGCCAACATTTCCTGCTTACTTGCCATGTTTGTTACCTACAGATCAAGTATTTGATTTTGACGAATTAGAATATCACTTTCAAGTTGCCAATAGAACGGAAGATATGCCTGCAGAAAAAAAAGGTATGCATGCACATGTACACATACATATGCACATTTTCACATGCCTATAGTTTTATCATATTCACTATTTTCCTTTTTTTTTATTTAAATAAAGTGTACTAAACATTAGGCAACCACATTCTTAGTACACAAGATACAGATCTGGCCTAGTTTGGAGACTAATTGTAATGCAGAATTTTTTCTTTCAATATAAATTGCAAAGTAATGCATTTTCATAATTATCATACATAGATAATTTTACCTTGTATCTATATATAACTTTAAAAACAATTAGTATTAAATACACTAAAACTGTAATTTTGTAGTCATATTTTTATTTTAACCATTTTATTTATTTATTTTATTTTATACAACTTAGAATGGCAAACAAGCTGATGGCCTACCTGATGGAAAGTGGTAACCGTCGCCTATAGACATGAGCAGTACCATGGACATAACAGAGTATACTGTTTCGCCCATGATACCCCCCATGCGTTGCCATTCCTGAGAACTCAGTTGTTATTGCTCTGTACCCACCAAATTTAATAATTATCTCCTGAACTCTATATAACTACCAAGACTCATTGTTGTGTGAAAACTGTACTGTAAATTTTATATATTGTTCTTATAACTACTATATTGTTATAGTTTTTTTTATTAAATTTGCTAAGATATTTTCATGCTTACAGATCAATCAGACAATGAAGGTGATAATGGTGGGGAAAATGATAATGCAAACAATTCACAACCAGAAAACCAAGAAACACCTGTAACATCAAGTCCTGACAGAAATAAAGCTGGCGGATAATTGATTGTATATAATGAATTTCTATTTTGTACCATAAAACTACAGCAATAAAGTTTATGATTAATATTTATTATTTTTTTAAAATTCCTTAATTTAAATCTATCAACTAACATATATTTAGTTAAATAATAACAGCATTCAATACATTTGCAAATTTTTAAATATGGTCATTTTACACTGGCTGCTGGGAGTATATAAAAAAATGCTGTAATTATTATTACATATATATATAGTAGTTTTATTAAAACTTACAATAGTTGAAAATTAAAACACTAATTATAAAGAATTATTTATTTATCCTTACATTTAAACATTACTTCACAGATTCAGAATTGATGACAGGCAGCATTCTAATTCCATCTCTAGTGACTACAGTCACTTGGAAATTAGGCAGACTGATAAACAGCCTCTTGTGAATTTCCTTAACACACTGTTTTAATATAACATATGCTTCATCTTCAGTTGCATCTGGTCGGAAAAAAAAATCAAATTTATTTAATTAGTAATTACTTTCTACTACTTACTTTTTCGAAAGCTGAATTATAGCAATATAAATACATGCTACAGAGATTATTATCTTAATCCTGAAGAATAATAACATGAGATGTGTCATAGTATACCCTATGATGTTTGTAGTGCTGTTCATGTCTATAGGTAATGGTTACCACATTCAATCAGATGGGCTGTCAGTTGTTTGTCGTTTCTACTTCCATAAGAAATTATGTTTCAATGAAATACTATCTGTATCATTTAGAGTGTAAATAAATGAGATATTAGAGATTAGAATTGCATGTAGTAGTAGTAATTACAACAAAACATTATTCAGAAACAATATCCATATTGAAAATTTACAATCTCCTCATTCTAAAGTTGGTTAAAAATAAATGTGGTGTTAAAGAACATCATTCCATATAAAGCTGTCTTTCATTTACTAAATTTTTTGTATATTATGAAACTATAAAAAATGGTTATCACCATTTTTTAATAAACAAAAATTTAACAAGTCTATATTGGATATTCACTATCTTGTGCCTGCAGCCATATTTAAATATATAATTTATTTTGACAATCATATTAACAGGGTTAATAAAGTACAAAGTACACAATACTCCTAATATGTTGCTACAGAAAGAATACACAATACCATAGTAGATAATTCCTTATTTTTTTACCTTTTTTATAATAACGATCCATGATGCTCAAACTAAGATATCCGCCATAACCATGAGCAGCAAAAGGGACTTTTACACTAGATGCCAGATAGTCCATGAAATATAATTCAGGACCATTCTCTTTATCATAACCACCCAGAAGAAGATTTACAAAGTAAGGCGTCTGGAAAACGTAAAAAAAATATAGTGACTTATTTAAACTGCAATTTTTATGTAATGTAAATTCTCTAACAATCTAAATTGGAGATGAATAGAAAAATATACTAACACTACTTCTCAAGTATTCAGCTAGGTTTCGACGAGTAAAATTAGCTGCAGCTGTAGGTCCCAGTTCGTAACCATTACGCATCTTATACAGTTGAATATTCTTTGCAATGTATTCTGCAAATTGATTGGTATCACCAGAATCACCGATCACACCCATCACCAACCTGTCCGAAATTTTATAGATCTTTTCTTCATCTGGAAACAAATACATATTATTAGGTTGTAATGACTTTAAATGAATAATGAAAATCTTAGGAAGAAACCGCTAACTCACCATCTTTCATAACCATAATACTATGGCTATTAGATTGATCAGCAGCTATCATGACAAAATCATCGCACTGTATTCCTAACAGGCATTGCAAATTAATATTAGACATTTTATAACAACTATAATGTTAGACTAATTTCTAAAACCGTAAATACAATCGGTAATTAAGGAAACTCGGTTAAGTTTAGTAAACTAGTGTAAACTTGTCAATTCATTGCCGAATCGGACCAAAAGATAGTGTTGCCACCATATAAAATAGACCATATTTGGCAAAAATTAAACCGCAAGTAGCCTAAAATTTACTATAGATCAAGTGTAAATTCAATTCCACACTACAAAAAATAAGGATGCAGATAAAACATAAGACGAGAAAAATATTTCTCTCTTACTCGCTCCTACAAAAAAATAATCATACACTATCAGTATATACTTTAAAATATTGGTAATGAGGGTTCGAAGGGCGCATATATTATTTATAAACGCAATCAGTAAACAAAATAAAACACCAACTTTTTGAGCTTTCCAATGACAACACTATATTTTTTAAATCATTTATATTCTACAGTTTACAAATGGCCAGTTTGAAGTTTAACATCCTCCAAACGGCAAGAAAAATAAAAGTAATAAAAATTTACTTTTAAAGAAATAATAATTCTATTTTAATGACCGTGTAAAGTTATTACTCGTAACTCTTTATTCTATATCCAGGCAGTTAACCAATAGTACATTTATCAGTTATAAAAGACATTGAATAAGTACCTAAACAGTAAATTCCTAAGACAATTTATTTGTCTAAATTATAATCAAATGCAAAATAAAAGGATCTTTAAATAAAAAATATCACAAAAAAATACATACCTACATTAACGCTTACCTCTTACAACGCTAGCAACGCATAAATATACTAAACAAACAAATTAATGGTCGACTTGAGTGTAACATTGTATTGTAATAAACTTAATTTTAATGTACGTGAAATAATATGTAATATATTAATGCCAGCAAACAAAAAAAAGTAAGAGTTTTATTTTTAACCTATTCCCCTTTAAACATGATATATCTTTAATTTGCTAGGTATTTTCGAAATTCGGCCACTACGTGTTACAAGTTGCTTATTTTTTGACGACAGATCAGAAGAAGTTGATAACTCACCAGATGGCGGTAAATCGGTGGAAATATTCGGAGTATTGTTTAAGTCAGGAAATTCATTATCTTTATGGACCTCAAGCTTGTAGAGTCTTTGTACTGGCCTCATCTTGGTTCCAAGAGATGTTCGAACTCGTGCTAACCTTTCTACTCCATCCTTACCCTGGATAAGCTGTTCTACAATACCCAAAGGCCATTTTATCCTTTTCTCTTCATTTTCTACTAATACAATATCTCCAATCTTTAATATATCTTTCTTTTCCTTTCCCTTTTGAACTAACACAGTTAAATATTCAGACTTAAATCGTTGTCTAAACTGTTCTCTCAAATTTTGCAAATATTTTAGACGGCGATTTAACGATGTGTTATCGACTATATCTAAATCGGTTACATCTGTCTTAGGTAACGGTTGTATAAATAATGCGGGTGTCAATGGTTCCAAATATTCACCATTATCATTATTTATGTATGTCAGTGGCCGTCCATTCATAATAGCCTCACAATCACAAATTAGAGTTTGTAACTCATCATACGAAACTGATGCTTTACCCAATACACGTTTTAGCAAATCCTTCATTATTCTAATGAGACGTTCCCAATACCCTCCCCACCAAGCGGCAGTGGGTACGTTCATTTTCCAAGCAATGCGTCGAATTGTTGATTGTCTCTGAATCTCCTCCCAATCGAGATTTGTAAGTAGATTTTTAGTCCCTATAAAATTACTTCCTTGATCTGAGACTAACATGTCTACTCTACCCCGACGTGCTATAAATCGGCGAAGCGTCATCATAAATGCTTCTGTCGACAATGACCTGGTTAACTCGAGGTGCACTGCACGATATACTGCGCAAGTGTAGAGCACTATCCAGCACTTTTCTCCATTTCGTAAATATAAAGGACCAGCCAAGTCAACACCAGTATTTTGAAAAGGTGCATTGCATGCCATGCGCTCATTTGGAAGAGGTGCAGCAGGTGCTTGTAAGGGCTGGGATCTATATCTCATGCATATCACACAATTTGAAATAACAGACCTCACTAAGCGGCGACTTCCGATGATCCAATATCTTGTACGAATGTCAGCTATCAACTGATTTGTACCAGCATGTTGCAATTGTACGTGCCGTTGCATCACCATTCTTTTAACTAATACATTTTTCGCCGGAAGTAGATAAGGTGTTTTAACATGATCAGGAAATTTTGTGCATTACATATGATTTTCTTAGTTTCTGAATTTACTAATCGCTCGTCAACGACCACCTCTGAATGCGGCCACTCTTCTTGTGCTAAAAGAAGCCACTTGGGCCCACACCACCATTTACAGTCGAAGAGTATTTTTGCATTACAGCCTCTAGATGCCAGATCTGCCCAGTTTTGTTCACCTGGAATGTGATACCAATTTTGTGTGTTTGTATGTTCTCTTATTTCTTTCACTCTATTACCCACATATGTATTTAAAGGCAGTTCTCTTTTGATCCAACTCAAAGATACAGCAGAGTCTGTCCAACAGAACTCAGGGCACTTTGACAAGGATAAACCTTTTCTAACATTAACTAACAATCGAGATCCGATCAATGCAGCTAATAGCTCAATTCTAGGAATGGTGATTTTTTCTGGTGGTGTCACTTTGGACTTGGCAGAAATTAATCGTACAGTTACCCCATGCTTGTCTTCTGCTCTAAGTAAGACACATGCACCATAGCCATGTATACTTGCGTCACAAAATAAATGAAGGCTTACCTGAGATTCATTTAAAATACCAGCTGATAATCGACGTGCTAGTCTGCAATCTCTTAAGTAATCGATGTATTTATACCAATCTCGAAACTTAGAAAATAAGTCAGCCGGTAACTCTTCATCCCATGGCAAATTACGACGCCATGTCTCTTGCAAAATTAATTTAGGGATTAACGTAACAGGCGAAGTAAAACCTATAGGATCGAATATTCTTTGTGTCAATGACAATAAGTCCCGTTTTGTTACCTTCTGAAATGTTTCTAGTTTTCGCATGTTATCACAATTACAAAACAATTCATCTGAAATTGTGTCCCAATTAAGACCCAGCACGGATATAATTTCTTTACCCGTTTCATTTATAGCTAAAGATGAGGTTACCCACATTCTAAGATTGAACTTAGCCTTCTCCATGATAAGTTTATATTCTTCAATAAATTTACGTGTCTCCTTTTCTGTGTCTAAACTCGTTACACAGTTGTCCACATAAAAAGACTTTCTTAATCGCTGTGCTGTCTCTTGAAATTTGCCAGTCACCCTTTCGAGATGATGATTAATAGTAGCTGACAATAAAAAGGGACTACATGTTAAACCAAATACTACACGACAGTGTCTATAAACTACTATTTGTTTTAAACTTTCTTCCTCCCACCATAAAAATTTTAAGTAGTTTCTACTTTCAGGTGGTATAGAGATTTGTAAAAATGCTTTAGCTATATCAGCTGTCACGCCAATGGCTCCTAAACGAAAACCGACAAGCATATTAGGAATACGATCTAATAAATTTATTCCCTTTTCTAGTGAAGCATTAAGACTTAAACCATTTTTATCCGTCGCAGATGCATCGAATACGGGCCTTAGTGCTGTCGTCAGACTTGATTCTTTAATCACAGCTCTATGTGGCATATAATGACCAGTATCATGATTAAGTTCAGACGGTGGAACTTTTTCTATTATACCTAAAGAAATCCACTCCTGAAATACTGCATGATACTGATTGAATTTCCCACACGTTACTAATTTTCCTGTCATTGCATTTAACCTATGTTTTGCCTTTTCATAATTAGATAATAGATCCTCATATCCTGTTTTAAATGGAAGCTGAACTTCATACCTGCCACTTGTAGGGTCCACCTTTATCGTGTTCTCGAAGAAACTCATGACCTCTGCAGTGATTGCCTCCTTAGACTTTACGTCTCTTGGATCATGAATGCCGAGATTTTCCAGCACCCAGAATTCTTTTAAAATATTATTATCACAAGTTAATGTTGTTATAGTAGTATTAGAATTACTTAATACACTAACCTGTACACCCTGAAGAGTCTAACCTAACCTGGTATCAATTGCTATTAGTCCATTGTCCATTTTTATCAACTTACCTGTCAAAAGAAAACCTGCATAATCTGCTCCTATTAACAATTTTATATCAGAACATGTGCCTTTGTCAGTCAACACAATGTTATGCTCATTTAAATGTTTTACTAGCACAGAATCCTTAAAGTTAATTTTAGGTACATTATTACATATACACTTTTGACTTAAAGCTAACATGTTAATTTCAAAGGAATGGTCTAAACTTTTTACCGACAAATTATAACCTTTATGTTCCTTAGAAATTGTTTTGATACCACCAAACAGTGAGTGAGACAGTACTTCAGTTGTTACAGCAGGAATCTTTAAATAATCAACCACTTCTTGTTTAATGTAGCTACGTTGAGATCCGCTGTCAAACATAGCACGTACGGACATCTTTTTATTTTGATGTTCGATTTCAATACGATGACAGTTTGTAACAATGTAGTACTGTGAATAGATGACGCTGTAACTGTATGACTGTCTGTGTTCTGTTTTTGTTCGACTGGTTTTTGATTTCTACATAGGATAGTAAGGTGTCGTTTGTGACATATAAGACATTTTACAAAAGCTTTACAAACTTTGAAATGGTGTCCTTGCTTTAAACAATTGCTGCATGCCTTTTTATTTTTTAAGTGTAGTAATCGTTGTTCTAAAGACATTTTGTAAATTTTGTAACATTCGAGACTTGAATGATTATCTTTATCACACCATATACATACCTTCGACTCTTTATTTTTGGATTTTATTGACATTAAGCAAGCAGCTGATGGTTCTTTATGGGTTTGAATATTAGATGACATCGGACTTAAACCATTTTTTGCCATTTGAATTCTTTGCTCACTCTCCACCTCCCGGCGTAGAAAATTAAGCAAGTTTGTCAACTCGATCTCCATTTGATTACTATGAGTTGTGAATCTCTCCCATGCTCGCAATATATCTTCAGGTAAAGCCGATTCCACCATAGGTAAAATGAAAGCAGCATGCGCTTTAGCGACTCCTAAAGTTTCTAGAGCCCTCAGTTGGGCGCTGAGTTTGTCATATAAATATGTTAAGTCAGGATGTTCATTTTTTTCTAATATTAACGATAAAATTTCTCTGACATATACCTGTATTAATAGTTCCTCACGAGCATAGCGCGATTTCAGGTGTTCAATACATTTGGTATAATTGTCCGCTGATACTGGGTAGCTCTCTATCAACGTACGCGGCTCTGAATCAGGTGTGGTAGCTTGCAATAAATATTGAAACTTATCCTCTGGTGTCAATATTGTTAAGAAGAGATCTTTATCTAACAATGATAGTGCTCTTCTTTATCTGTGCGTTACCTAGCAACTTGTTTTGTTAATGTTCTGTCGAAATAAATATTACTTTCACTACAAATATACGTACTAATATTCTATCTTAAATCTATTACATTTCCTGTTCCCTTTGAATTCTTAAAGTGGTAGCAGAGCGTATGAGTATCATAGAAGCTAGAATCAATTGAAAACGTACCCATTATCAAGATATGGATAAGTCAATTGTAGAAGCGTCGAAGGTTCAAATTGGGAACATAAACTCTAAAAACTTTAAAACATGGAAGTTTAAGTTTCTGATGGTGTTAAAAGGCATGCCGGGGGCATTAGATATATTGGAAGGTAAGAGACCGAAGCCAGTATTGCAAGGTATGGCCACACCAGAAGAAAAGGCAATGTATACGAAAGATTTAGAAGAGTACAATAGAATAGACAGTACTATAGTAGTCCTGCTTACGACAAATATGTCAGATGACACATTACAGAAATTAATGCGCTTTGATAATTCTAAGGACATGTGGGATGAATTACAAAGACTTTATGGAGGATGTATAATAGACAGATCGTACGAATTATGTCAAAATTTTTTCGGATATCAGAAAGAACCAAGTCATGACATGGCCACTCATATTTCATCGCTAAAGGGAATATGGTATGAATTAAATTCGGCATTGAATACAACTGGTGATTTGCCGGAAATTTTATTGATATATCAAATTCTACATACTCTCCCTTCTGAATATTTTGGTTTTAAGTCAAGCTGGCTCTTGATGTCAAAGACCGATCGCACTGTTAACAACCTAACCGTTCAGTTATGTGCCCACGAAAAAGTCATAATTAACAAAGTAGAAGAAGAGACACTAAGCACTTCTGAAGCATTATATACAAAAGCAGAAGAAAAGAAGAAAAAGGACAAGAAGAAGAAAAATAATTTTCATAAATGTAACTATTGCGGAGAGACAGGACATTTTGTAAGGAAATGTAAGAAATGGATCTCAGATGGCAGACCACCTAAGAAGTCGACTGCTGTGAATATGAACTTGACGGTCCTTACTATTGAAGAGGACTTTAGGAATGATGTCAAAAATTCTACAGATTGGTACGTTGACAATGGGGCAACCAGTCATGTAACCAACAGAGGAGATCTTTTTCAGGACTTCATTTATTTTAAAAGTTCGCACACAGTTACCGGCGCTAACGGGCAGAGTATCCAAGCTATAGGGATTGGTACAATCCGTGCAGAAGCTTGACTTGAACAAATTCTTTTAAAGGATGTATGGTATGTACCTGCTATAAGTAAAAATCTTTATTCTGTCCTAGCCACTCATGATATCGTAAAAGATAGCATCTTCGAGTCAACTCCGTTCGAATGCGTTATGAAGATAAATGGTGCAAAGAAACTGATTGGCACTCGAGATGTGCAAGGCGGTCTTTACCGTTTAAAAATGAGGTGCTTGAAACCAACTGTAGATGTAAATCAGCTATCCACCTCTAGTTTACTACAACTATATCATGAAAGATTTGGTCATCAGAATAAGTTACATGTAAAGAAATTATTGGAAAAGGAATTTCACATTAAAACAGAAGCAACTAAAGAGCTATGTGAAGGGTGCATTTATGGCAAATCACATAGACAAAAGTTTGGTATTAGAGAGAAGCCATCAAAACCAGGTGAACTAATCTGTACGGATATTTGTGGACCTTTCCCGTATTCGATTTCTAAACATCGTTACTTCGTGCTATTCAAAGATGT